CAATGTGTTGCAGCTTTTCAATGTGTTGTGGCTTTTTAATGTGTTGCAACATTTGCATTTGTGTTGCGGCATTTGCGTTTGTTGTGACCCCTCTCGGCTTCCACAGCAGGATCCAGGACAACCAGCAAATAATTTAAACCACACACAACAAATTACAAACTGAAGGCCTGGGGCTGTAACACTCAGTGTTTCCAAAACCAAGGAATTTTGTTTTGTTTGGAGAGACAGTGACAGTGTCCATCATCTTTTGTAACTTTTGTCCAGTTACAGATTAGATTTTTTCATTGTGGATCAAACCTCAGAGGCTCCATTTCCACCAAAACTACATCACTTTTATTAAGACGTTAACAGTCACAAACGTTCAAAAACTGAAAGCAAAACCAAACTCAGCAGCTGAAATGAAAGGCAGTTATAAAGTTACACCATAAACAGCTGGTTATTAACATATGCACGTGTCCTGACGAGGACCAGAGGGCGGGACCACATTACACCGGTTTTAAAATCACTGCATTGGCTCCCTGTGTGTTTCAGGATCGATTTTAAAGTTCTTTTACTGGTTTTTAAATGTCTTAATGGTCTTGGGCCTTGGGGGGGGGGGGTGTCTGTGATGTTTGGTTGTGTCGAGTCGGGCAGCTGTGGGAGTTGGGTTGGTGGGTGGGTGAGTGGAAATGTGGGATTGTTTTTAATCTGTGTAAAGCACTTTGTGTTACATTTTTGTATGGAAAGTGCTTTATAAATAAAGTTTGATTGATTTGATTGATTGATTGATATAGAAGACACAAAAAAATCACATTTACATTCCCCTTTTTAGAATTGCATTAGAATTGTATATATGGAAGATAATTTATTCCGTTAGATTTAAAATTTTAGACACAGTTGAATTTCTGACTTTGAATTTTATAACTCTGAAAAAATAATTATTTTGAATTTTAGTTGCTGAAATTGTAAATGTATTTTTCAATATGTTTCCAATTCAAAATGTCACCTTTTAAATATTCAGCGCACAGATTTTCAAACCCTCAAACTCAGCAGACAAAAGTCAGAGTGTAAAATTTCACCGCAAAAATCCAAGACGGAAGCGTGGGTCCTGTGCGCGACGAGGACAGAGGCTGGTTCCTATTGGCCGTTCTCATCTGTGGGCGGAGTTTTACACTTGACAAATCAAACAGACGAGGTTTGGATGAGGTTTAGTCCAAACCCCGGGGTCTAAACGCGCTCGCCTGTTCAAGTCACTGGGCCGAGCTCAACGGTTCAAGTCTCCAGATTCGCCTTTAGCAGTTAGGTTCTTCCTGTGGCTCATTGAACATACACAGTAAAGCTTTTTTTTTTTTTAGCTTTTTTCTCATGCAGGCACCTTCGCCTTGTCACGATCTGCATGTCGGTCTGACACATGACATGTTCTGTGCTCACAAAAATGAAGCCAAAGCACAGAAACAGACCGAAGCTGCTCCTGATCCTCCTCCTGCACCCGGACTGAAACTACAAAAACACACACAGGCCAACTTATCTCGTTAGAAATGATCAAATATTAAGACGTGTTTGTATCATTTCTCCTTTTTTTGTAATTATTTTATTTAATGTCCAAACAGGCGACTTGTAGATCCTTTTATTTCTGCTTCATTGTTGTTTCAAACTTGAGTCATACTAATAGTTCAGAGACACGATCACTCAGTCAACAACGGAAATATTCTCATAAATCCGTGCGTCAGTCGTTCATTTGTTCTTTAAAATAAAACAAAAACAACTGTCTTCGTTATTTGTCTACAAAACCAAAACCAGGAGTGTCGGGATGGGCCCAGAGGTGCACCCTCGTAGACGGGTGATCAGGACTGAGAATTAGTCCTGGTTCAGTCCGGGTTTAGTCCGTTATCCGTCGTCGCTACGACACTTGCGGTTGGATTTCCAAATATGGAGCCTGTAACCGTGACAACCGGGAGCTTCATGTGAGCGGAGCTGAACTCTGTGGAGACGTCACGCTTGCTTTAGAACACTTTTTTTATACAGTTTAAGGCGGGCAGACAAATACAAGCAGCAACATCCTCTAGGTATTTGAACAGATCCATGGACAGTTCTAACCAATCTGGTCCACTGAACCATTTCCTGTTTTTTACTGACTCAGATTGGATCAACTTCCTTAGGTCTTGGATCTTTGCTGTGAATTTTTTTCCCTGAGAATTTTACACTCTGAATCTTGACTGTTGAATTTAAAGGTGGTATGGAGGATTTTTTTTGTTTTGTTTCAAATTGTCAATGAATGTTCAAAACAGCATTATAGAGACGCAGCAGCCTTGTTATTATGATGACCAAAAAAAAAAAAAAAAGAATGAAAGTCTGTCAACTGTGGACGTGATGGGGCCAGATAAACATCAGCCAACAGATAAAGAGGCTACCTCGTTTTTTATTGGCTGTCAGGTTGTCAATCAAACTCCCTGCGTTTCTAGTGTCACTGAGTCGCTGGGATTATGTGGTTTACATTTGCTTCTCACGCATTCCATAGATGCAAGACGATGTGGTTCTTAGCGGGGTTTTTGAACTGTAACTTCCTCGCAGTTCATACAAAGACGGGGGACGAGAATCCACGACCAGTTCGCCGCAAAAGAAAGTCGGTTTTTGAGATCACTGAAAAAAGAAGAGAAGAAGGGGAAAAGGAGCAAAGACCAACTGAGGTCATTCTTGGAGATTCCTTCCAGCGACGGCGCGTCTGAAGCAGATGAAGGCTCTAAAAACTGACGCGTCGGTCGATAAATTACTTAAAAGACTTCAACAATGATTCTGACCGTGCACAAGCTAAAACCAAGCGTGATTTCTAGTGTAAGGAGGAGGCGGGAGGAGACGTTTCTACTTCGGGAGCTGCAGAGTCACTGTATTTCTTTTTCCTTGGAAAATCTTCTATACAACCTTTGAGAGCTTGAAAATATTTGTGCTTAATATTTAAAAGGTGATTGTTTTTATAAAAATATTTTAAACACAGCAACTAAAATTCTGAATAAAAATAATTCAATCATGTTTTTTCAGAGTTAAGTGAGAAATTCATTGGCACTTAAAATTCTAAATCTAATTAAACAAATGATCTTCTTTATAATATCTTATAGATGCATCGTTAGAAGCAAATAACACAACATGTCACAAGTAGAAATATCTTCTGTTTGCTACTTTCTGACTCTATGCAAATATAAACATTCATCCTGGTATCAAATGCACTGCAGTGTACTTTGTCTCTGTACCAACATTTTCACTTCATTAATAAACATGCTGCTTTACAATACAAATCTTTACTACATACAGAGTCTTCAGTATCACCACGTGTCATTTGTCCATTTGATTTTATTTGAGAATAAAAACAAAGTAGGTGGTATTTCACTTCAGTGGGATATAGAACTTTTTCACAATGGCCGGAAGTGCCGCGATGTCGAGTAAACGTCACGTCCGGTTAATGGTTTTCAGTGTAAATGTGTGTAAATGTGAGTCGTATTCTTCATAAATCTGCTCCATCACCAAATCTTCAACCAACAAACTCCACAAAAGATAAACATTCTAACATGAACAATTTATCCACAACGATCAAGAGAAGAAAGATGAAAGTTTAAAGAAGAACAAAAACTTTATTGCCTTATTTTTATTACTCATTACTGTATTTAAAACGTAAGGCTGCAGCACTTCAAGTTCCTCTCACCAGCTCCTGACTGAATCCAGACGATTAACTCATCACATCCAGTGGAGCAGGGTTCATTTCAAAACTTTTCCATGACTTTTTCATGAGTTAAAGTGAATTTTCCAGGACTTTACGGCTCCTACATGTATAGAATTGATCAGACTTTTAGGCTAAATCTGAAATGTTTAATTCTTTCCACTCAATTTATGGTTTGGGATTATAGTTTTTGAACATTTAAAATCCTGTCAGTGCATTTATTGTCGTCTCTTTTAAACAAAAGACGTCCAGAAATAATGAGAATAGTCTAATGAGAGCTTAACAGAACGCTGGAGTTCTTGATACTAAAATTCCATAACTTTTCCAGACCCGGAAAATGACACTTTCATTTCCATGACTTTTCCAGGATCTCCATGACTGTGGGAAGTCTGAGTGGAAGATGAGGTGGTGATTTTAGCCAGGGGTGTCAAATTATCACGTTAATTGCGATTAATTAATTACAGTCGTATTTAGTGCGTTTTGTTTTTTAATCGCGTTTTTAATCTCTAACTTTAAACTCTTTCTGTTTGCGAGTTGCCTTATTATAAAATCTGTTTTTATGTGTTGTTGGGACAATAACACATCGCTCTCGCAAAGAATTGTAATTTTCATTCCCGTTCTCGCCGCATCTGCGATAAACCTGCACACGTCTGATCTCTGAAAACATCACGACACAAACACAGAACAGACTCACCATCAGCAGAACATCCCTCTGTCACAGAGAGAACACCCCTCTGTCACAGAGAGAACACCCCTCTGTCGCAGAGAGAACATCCCTCTGTCACAGAGAGAAACACCCCCTCTGTCACAGAGAGAACACACAGAGAGAACATCCCTCTGTCACACAGAGAGAACACCCCTCTGTCACAGAGAGAACACCCCTCTGACACACACAGAGAGACATCCCTCTGTCACACAGAGAGAACACCCCTCTGTCGCAGAGAGAACATCCCTCTGTCACACAGAGAGAACATCCCTCTGTCACACAGAGAGAAACCCCTCTGTCACACAGAGAGAACACCCCTCTGTCACAGAGAGAACACCCCTCTGTCACACAGAGAGAGACACCCCTCTGTCACACAGAGAGAGAACACCCCTCTGTCACAGAGAGAACACCCACACACCTCTGTCACAGAGAGAACACCCCTCTGTCACAGAGAGAACACACCCCCCTCTGTCACAGAGAGAACACCCCTCTGTCACACAGAGAGAACACCCCTCTGTCACAGAGAGAACACCCCTCTGTCACAGAGAGAACACTCAGACTCCGCAGAGTCGCTGTGTCCTTTAGTCCGACAGAAGTTGAACCGCATCCGCTTATTTTATGCAAATGAGTCATGTGGTTTTAAGTTTTGTTTCTGTGAGACTTGTGCAAATCTGCATTAAACACATGATAATGTCAAACAGCTGATGTGGCTCTAGAGTGTTTATGTTTATATGTTGTAAAGTTGAGTAATATAGAGTAACAGTAATAATAATAATGATGATACTGTGGAGTGTAAGTGACTGCATCTGTTAAAGTTTGTTAAAGTCTTTTAATCTGCCACAATAATGTAATAATGAATTTAAATGAAAATACCTCAAGTTGAGACTTTTCTCAGCAATTTTTAGGTGAGATTAAAAAGACATTAATTACAGAGCACATTTAATTAATCTCTCAATATTTTTTATCGCTTGACAGCACTAATTTTAGCAAATTTGTATGAAGAAAAACAAAAAACCCACCACTTCATTCCAGGTTAAGGACATTTGTACCAAGTAAAATATTACCTTTTTTCCCCCTGTGATGCCACATTACAGCAAAAAGCAACACATTACAGTAATTCATTACTTTTATAACGCGTTACTCCAAACACTGTTAATGAACTACTGAGCAAAACTAATGTTATGGTCGTGAATACATCAGAAGTAACTTGTGCACTCAGACTGATTCTAGAATTAAAATTAAAAATCTATTTCATGATGTTGATATTAACATAGACAGAGAGATTTGTGCAGTTTAAATGTTAGACCTGTAATCTGTGAACATCTGTAACATTTGAACTGCACAAATCTCTCTGTCAGTGCAAATATCTACATCGTGAAATCTATCAATTTAAAATTTTAATTGTAGAATGAGTCTGAGTGAACAAGTTCCTTCTGTTTTATTCATGATCATCACATTAGTTTAGTTTCTTGTGTGGTCATTGTTTCCTTAAGTTTTGCTCTTTTTTCTCTTGATAGTTGTGGATAAATTGTTCATGTTATAATGTTTGTCCTTTGTGGAGCTTGTTGGTTGAAGATTTGGTGATGGGGCAGATTTATGAAGAATATGACACATTTACACACAAACATTTACACAGAAAAACATTAACTGGAAGTAACGTTTCCTCGACATCGCGGGACTTCGGGCCATTGTGAAAAAGGTCTATTAAAGAGGGGGTACGTGACATATTTAGATCACCATGTTCCTTTTATTGTTTTGAAAATGCTCTATTTCCCCAAAACATCATATTAACATTTTGTTTTTGACAGTCACTCCCCCTTCAGAGCGTCACAACTCATGGAGCGTTCGTCCCACTAATGAAACTCCTGCACGTCACAACAGGTTCGTCCAGTCTCTGTGTCACAGGTGTGTCATGCTTTTGTATATTTCTGGAGAATTGTCCCGTGAGGGCGCGTGTAGACCTGTGGGCGGAATAGGGCCCAGGAGAGATCACTAGATTACTCAAATATGCATTGATGAATCTAAAACCTCCTTAGACGTGTTTTGGATGAGGAAACATTAGAACTTCGTCGAAAGTTCCAGAAAGTCAATTGTTCAGAATACCCCCTCTTTAAGTTTTTAATTCTCAAACAAAATCAAATAAACAAATGACACCTTTACTATTTGAAGAAGTGAAGTATCAATGAGATGAAGACGGCAGCCACAAAACCAACTCCAGCTTCGAACCTGCAGGCCCCACCTGAAAAACACAAGAGACATCAGGAGTCTGACCCGCAACCTCCAAGAGTCTGACCCACAACCTCCAAGAGTCTGACCCACAACCTCCGAGAGTCTGACCCAAACCTCCGAGAGAGTCTGACCCACAACCTCCGAGAGTCTGACCCTCAACCTACGAGAGTCTGACCCACAACCTCCAAGAGTCTGACCCGCAACCTCCAAGAGTCTGACCCTCAACCTACGAGAGTCTGACCCACAACCTCCAAGAGTCTGACCCTCAACCTACGAGAGTCTGACCCACAACCTCCAAGAGTCTAAACCACAACCTCCGAGAGTCTGACCCACAACCTCCTCACTGAAAGGATTAGCCGCTCTGCCACACTCACTTGCCAACACATCGAGGATGATCACTTTGGCAGGTTTTGATTGGTGAGTGTCCCTCTTCATGCGGTGCTGTGATTGGACGATGTAGCCGTGGTACTCTCCGCTGTCGCCGGGCTGGGCTCTGTGCAGGACCACGGACAGGTCTTGGATCTGGTCTTGGTTCTGGTCTTGGTTCTTTAGTTGGACACGGCCGTCGTACTGTGGGTGCTGGTGGTGCGGGTGGCCCATGCCGTGGAGAAACACGAAGTGTTCTTCATCTTCGGGGCGTTTCCACATGATGGAGGTTACAGGGTAGTCCACAGGCTCCATCTT